GCTAAAGGCCATCACAGATTTCCTGATGTTAAAAGCGGATAAAGGTACTCCCTGTGTAACTTAGATGTCAGCCATTGTCAGCTCATGTGTGACACCTGCGCTTGCTCAGGCCCTTTGAGGAGGCCACGCTAATTCGTGAGTCGGCAGGACTATGGGATGAATGAGGTCAAATCGGCCATGGGCCCCCGTACCGCCTGTTCACCCCCAGCTGATGCTGGTCCCACAGTGTGACCTGGGTCCCTGTACGGCCTCCCATTGCTTCCACTCTGCCATGTACCTCTTTGAAATCTCCTCACACTCCTGCGGTTGTCCATTTTGTCATAGGTTGCTGGCAGATTACAGGCCTTCCATAGGTGCCACCAAGCCCCATATCGGCCATGGGCCCCCGTACCGCCTGGTCACGCTGCTGCTGGGCCACAGTGTGACCTGGGTCCCTGTACCGCCTCCCATTGCTCCCACTCTGCCATGTGCCACTTTCAGGTCTCCTCACGCTCCTGCTGGTTTCCATTTTGTCATAGGTTGCTGTATGGCCTCCCATTGCTGCTGCCTCCACCCGCCACACTGTGGCTCCAAACACTGGTTTTGGCCCCGTGACTGGCCAAAGGAGTGAAGTGTGCAGTGATTCTAAGATCGACGGCACTCATCTGCATGTCATACTGACAGACAGTATTATTTCTCTTCCCCAGCAGACTCCAAGGGCATTTAAATTAAAGGTACAGTGTTCTGCACTAATATTAAGTCTCTCTGAAGCCTAGAAACACCCTTTTTTAAGTTAAATTCACAGCGAATTTATTCGACTCGAATCGAATATTGTCCACGAATTCGCCGAATCAGTCGAATCGAATTTTTCATTTCTTCGCTCATCTCTAGTTATAACATTTACAAAGGGCGGTATGTATACTGGAATTTTTGAGAATTTTTTTTTTTACTAGTTATGGCGGCGATCAGTGACTAATAGCGGGACTGCAGCAGGCATTCTGACACTGGGAGGAACTGACTAACTGCCACTGACATCCCAATGGCACTAATACAGTGATCAGTGCTAATAAAAAGCACTGACACTGTACTAATGGCACTGGGAAGGAAGGGGTTAACATCTGAGGTGATCAAAAGGTTAACTGTGTGCTGTGTGTGTTTTACTAGGGAGGCATGCTGTTTTGTATGGCTCTGTTATGCAGAGCCATACAAAGCAGCATGCTGGAGCTGACAGGGGAGAGATCTGTATTGTTTACAAACAGACCTCTCCCCCATCAGTGATAGTTGGCTATTGCCGGGTGCCGGTGGAGAATCAATGGCTGTGACCCGGTGATTGACAGCGGTAGCCAGCAAAGGCAGTGCGGGAAGGGCGCATGCACACCCCCTACCCGTGAATACAAAATCATGTATATATACAAAAACTGTAGCTGCTGACCTTTGAAATACAGCCACTTACCTGTCCCTCGGTCAGGGGCGGACTGACCATTTGGAAACTCAGGCACTGCCTGAGGGCCCGGGGTCAGAAGGGGGCCCCATGAGATGCCCCTGGTACCTTTTTCATAGGCTTTTTTGGGTTTGGGCAAGGACACAGTGGCCCCATGATCCCCTATTGCCCGGGGGCCCCATGAGTTGTCAGTCCATCCCTGCCCTCGGTCCAGCGGTTTCCTCACCTTGTCTGATTTCACCGGCCATCTTCTCTCCCTGGCGCCTGCATCTTCAGTGTGGACACCCGGTTGTGACAATTTGTGGCTTCACAGCCGGGTGCCCACTGTGCATGCGCGAGAAGTGCTGCGCTTTGTGAATGGTCCCATAGTCTTCTAGGACCTGTCAAAAGTCCCAGAAGACTACAGGGAGGGAGGGTACTGCCGCGCCCCACAATGCACTGCACTCCCTTTCTGGATAGCATTTGCCCATATGAGCTGTTTTACAAGCACCTCCATATTGTTCAGCAGTAGGTGTTGGTACCTGGTTGCAGGGGCGGACTGACCATTTGGAAACTCGGGCACTGCCCAAGGGCCTGGAGTCAGTAGGGGGCCACATGAGATGCCCCTGGTACCTTTTTCATAGGCTTTTTTTGAGTTTGGGCAAGGACACAGGGGCCCCGTGATCTCCTATGGCCCGGGGGCCCCATGAGTTGTCAGTCCGCCCCTGCCTGGATGTGAGCAGTGCCCTCAAATAACAAAGTTGTAAGGAGGACATGCTCAACTTGTATTGGCATTGGTAAATCATTCACAAGACAGGGACAGCCAAGAACAATTTAAGCAGGTTTGAGAAAGATGAAGAGGTTGAATATTTTAGCTCTGAAGAAGGGAGTGCGTCTCCCGAAATGCGTCAGTTAACTACATCTAGGGTCCCCCGTTATCTGGGATCGTTACCACTAGCTCTTTGTCTCTGTTTTGTATCTCCTTTGGTTGAGTATGTACTTTTATGCTTTTTATTACATTCGTTTTTTACCACGGTAATGCACGATGAGAGTGTGCCCCTTTTTTTGCTTTCCTTTAGGTTTGAGAAAGAGAGTAAGAGAGCCCTGAGCATCATTGAGCTCACATATATAGTAGTGATGGGTTTTTACAGGTGTCAAACTGGCGGCCCTCCAGCTGTTGCCAAGTCCCATGAGGCATTGCAAGATTGACAGTTCCAAGCATGACTCCCAAAGGCAGAGCATGATGGGACTTGTAGTTTCGCAACAGCTGGAGGGCCACCAATTTGACACCCATGTTGATGTTGGAGTTGAACGTAAGTGCGACACGAACATCAGCCGCTCGGGAAACACACGAGCAGTAAGGGCGTTCGGCGGGCTGTTCGCCTGCCGCGTCCCACAATGCACTGCGCTCTCACAGTGCATTATGAGAACCATGATTGGCCAAAGCAATGCACCTGGCCAATCTCGTCACCTCTAGCTCCGCCCAATAGTTTAAATCTGACCCTCAAATGTGAGTGCTCAGCGGGTGTGGACGGGTCGTGTTTTTAAAAAAAAATTTGCCAAGTTGACAGCGTCGTGACAATGCTGAAAGCCGTGATTGATGATGGATTGCAATGATGGAAGCATTTTTTTTTTTTTAAATAAAGACTTGTTTTGTTTTTTGTTCAAAAAAGGAGATTTTAAAAAAGTCTGGCATCTTTATTTTTTACTTTGGTGAGTGGGTGGGTGTACAAGTACCCTTTATTCATTCACAAAGGAGGGGGGGCAGCATCAGGGTGCCCCCTTATTTAAAGGGGGTACCCTAATGCTAATGAACCCCCCCCCCACAGACCACCACAACCACCTGGCCAGGGTTGCCGGGAAGAGGCCCTTGTCCCCATCGACATGGGGACACTGTACCAATGCAGAGGGCACGTGGCTTGATAAGCCGCAGGGAGAAGGTGGCCGCTCATTCACCCCCCCCCCCCCCTTTCCTGCCCTGCAAGGCCTGTGCTTGGATCAAGGGTCTGGTAAGAATTTAAGGAGGACCCCATGCTTTTCTCCCACATTTGTGGGGGGTGGGTTCCCCTTAAAAGTCCTACCAGACCTAAAGGGCCTGGTATGGCTTTTAGGGGGAAACCCATGCACTTGTTTTTTGAATTTTTTACCTAAAGGATCTGGTATGGATTAATGGATTAGGGGGGGGACCCCAAGCTGTTTTTTTTTTTTTTTTTTTTAAATAAAAATGTAATTTAAAAAGAAAAAAGTGAGTCCTGCTGCATCAGGTTCTATACATTGTACAGAAGTGCAACTTTGCATGTAGTTTAAGGGGATCCCCCAGGCATGATATTTAAAGGAATTTTTCTTTTCTTTTTTTTTACCTTTAGCAATGAAAAATGACTGCCCCTTTAAAAACGGTACTTTTTGAATTTTTTTTTCACTGATTCATGTCCCTCAAGGCAGTACCTGAGTCCCCATACCCCTTTTATTGCCAATAACTTGCATATAAGCCTTCAAAATGGGCACTTTTGAATTTACATGTTCGAGTAACAGATTTGCATTGAGTTTGAAGTTTGCAGTTAAACATTCATTAGGTTCGAATGTTCAACCGTGTACCGAACATGGGGATGTTCGGCCCATCACTAATAGTTAAGGACCTCTGGATAGCTGAGATTAAAAATGAGGACTGACCACCAGGTAAAATGGGAACCTAAGGATGGAGGCTTTATACCACCCAAAGCTCTGCAAAACCTCTTGGCTCCAGGATCCAAATATAACTTATTTAACCGCCTCCCGCTCGCCATATAGTAATATGACAGACGCAAGGTGGTTCTCTCGTTCTGGGAGGACGTTGTATAACGTCCTCCGATTCTAACCACGCATGTGTGGCTCCTGGAGCGCTCAGTGCGGCGATCATCAATGTGCTGTGTCCCTCGGACACAGCGGATCACCGATCCACGGAAAAAGCCGAAGATGTCGGCTCGGTCATGTGATCAGCTGATCGCATGTAAACAGGGAAATGTTGGTTATCAGCATTTCTCTCCCCACGAGCTGTCACGCTGACAGCTCGTGAGGAGAGGAGAGCCGGCAATTGGCATTCCTCGAAGGGGACATGTACACTAATCATCAGAGCACTGATGATCAGTGTGCCCTGATGATCTGTGTAGCCCCAGCAGCGCCACCTGCCAGTGCCCATCAATGCCACATATCAGTGCCCATCTGAGCTGCCTTTCAGTGTCACCCATCAGTGCCAGTCAGTGCCACCTATCAATGCCAGTCAGTGCCACCTATCAGTGCTGACTTTCAGTGCCCATAAGTAATGCCCATCAGTGCCCATCAGTGCCACCTATCAGTGTCCATCAGTGCAGCCTATCAGTGCCTATCAGTGCAGCCTCATTAGCGCACATCAGTGAAGGAGAAAAATCACTTATTTACAAAATTTTATAACAAAAACTAAGAAAAAACTTTTTTTCCCAAAATTTTCAGTGTTTTTTGGTTTGTTTAAGAAAAAAGAAAAAAACCAGAGGTGATTAAATACCACCAAAATAAAGCTCTATCTGTTAAAAAAAAAATGATAAAAAATTTATATGGGTACAGTGTTACATGACCGCGCAATTGTCATTCAAAGTGCTACAGCGCTGAAAGCTGGAAATTGGCCTGGGCAGGAAGGGGGTATAAGTGCCCTGTAGGCAAGGGGTAAACTCTAGGAAAACAAAAAGTTTGTTTTCTCCACATTGGTCATAAACCCTGAAGTCAACCTAGGTGACCATCCACAATCCTTCCAGCCAGTGCCTCCCACATGTAATACACACATAAGGGAATTGTTACACACATTATTAAGCAGCAATACTATAAATACAAAAAATATATTAAAATCAAATGATTTCCTTCCATTGGAAAATGAGAAGAAAAACACTCTCTAGGCTCTGCTGGTGCAGCCCTTGAAGCTGTGCTGCGAGTTTGCGCTGGTCGCCCTGACTATGTCTATTCAGTCACCACCGTCTTTCCCCATGCCAGTCCAGCTGTGAACATCTGCTGGGAACCAGCTAAGTGATGTGCATGCACTTGCACCTGTTCTTCCGGACTATTGCACACCATCCATGAAATTTAAACAGAGTCCTGATTAACTGGCATAGTTTTGTATTTTACGCTTTATATCGGTATTTTACAATACTGGCATTTTACTACTGCAGCTGCTTATACTTACCTTTTCGTCTTCCCTCTGCTGCTCTGTTTACCAAGATAGAGAAGTTGTTAAGTGCTTCGCCTCTTGCTGGATGACATTTTCCAATATGATCTGTTTTACAAGCACCTCCATATTTTTCAGCTGTAGATGTTGGCTCTTAGATGTGAGCAGTGCCCTCAAATGACAAAGTTGTAAGGAGGATGTACTCAACTGGTATTGGCATTGGTAAATCATGCACAAGACAGGGATAGGATGAGAGATAAACTCAAAAACGCGTTGGGGAGGGGCAGTGATGTCATCGCGCAATCTAACAATGTTACGGCGAGTACTGAGGGTGTGTTGACACACACCGTTCGTTTGATTCAGCTACAAGCTGAGGGAATTTTTATATATGCAAAGCGCTTTTGTTACTTTTAAAATGTGAGAGAGTGCAATAGAGAAGCACAATAACAGGCTGTTTTACCCTTGGATAAGGCACCATATCTTTTATTAATTTCCTTGCATGTTATACACGAGGAATATCAAGGCAGAGGACTAAGGAGTGGATCAAAGAAGGGAGTATCCCTCACAGTCCTGCAGCCACACAGGTTCTCAACACCACAGCAAAGATTAGATCTTCATACAGAAGGAGAGTATATCCATCAAAGCTGGACATTTACTTTTGCACAATGGGAGATAATTGTTATTTATTTAGAGACTTTTTAACTTTTTGATTATTATTTATTTATTAAAAAAAAACATCACTCCTTATATATAATTTTTATTTATCACTTCTCATCAACTTTTTTATTTTATTTATTAAATTACAAGTATTTTCACAGAGGGAAATTTGCACATTGCACATGGTTATAAGGATTGCACATTTTATGATGTATTAATAAGATATGAATTATTTTATATAATTAGCTACGTTCAATATTTCATATGTTTTCACAAATTTCAATCATGATACACCATTTATTTTTATATTTTATTTATTTATAAGCACATAGCACTTTTGATTTATTTGGTTTGTGGATATTAGAGCGCGGTTAATATCTAAATTAATTTCTCAAAAATGCACATTAGAAGAGAGTGGGCTAATTAACCAGCGATCTAGTACTTATGCCTTCATAATATACCTCAGTGGCTCGCAAGCTAATTTGTTTGTAGAGATAAACTCTGTTACGTCCACAACCCCTTATTAGAAACAAGACATTTTTGTCAGAAAATAGGCAACCCTGCTTCAATGAAAACTACAGTCATGCCCAAAAATATTGGACCACTTCATTTCTGGTATATAATGCACCACTTCGCCCAGAAAATTGTTGCAATTACAAATGTTTAGGGATTCTCATGTTTATTTCTTTTGTTTGTATTGGTATGACACAAAAAAGTGGAGAAACAAAAAGCCAAATCTGACACATTCCACACAAAACTCAAATAAATGGACTGGACAACACAGGGGCGGACTGACAACTCAGGTGGCCCCGGGCTATAGGGGATCATGGGGCCCCTGTGTCCTTGCCCAAACTCAAAAAGCCTATGAAAAAGGTACCAGGGGCATCTCATGGGGCCCCCTACTGATCCCGGGCCCTCGGGCAGTGCCCGAGTTTCCAAATGGTCAGTTCGCCCCTTGGACAACATTATTGGCACCCTCAATTTGATATTTGGTAGCACAGCCCTTGGAAAAAATAACTAAAATCAATGGCTTCCTGTAACCATCAATGAGTTTCTTACACCTCTCTACTGGAATTTTGGACAAATCTTCTTTCACCAACTGCTCCAGGTCTCTCAGATTGGAAGAGTTCCTTTTCCCAACTGCTGTTTTGAGATCTCTCCACAGATGCTCTACGGGATTGAAATCTGGACTCATTGGCCAGTTCAGTACTCTCCAGCGCTTTGTCTGAAACTATTTCTGTGTGTTTTTTTATGTGAATTTTGGGTCATTGTTCTGCTGTAAGATTCATGACCTCTGACGGAGACCCAACTTTCTAACACTGGGCCCTACATTGCACCCCAGAATTCTTTGGTAGTCTTCAGATTTCATAATGTCATGAACACGATCAAGACATCCAGTGCCTGAAGCAATAAAGCAACCCCAAAACATCAGTGAACCTCCACCATGTGTAACTGTAGGGATTGTATTCTTTTATTTAAAGGCCTCATTTCTTTTTCTGAAAACAGTAGAATGATGGGATTTATCAAAAAGCTGTAATTTTGTTTTGTCTGTCCACAGTGCATTCTCCCAAAAGGATTTTGGCTTCCTCAGGTACATTTTGGAAAACTCCAATCTGTCTTTTTATGTTTCTGTGTCAGCAGTGGGGTCCTCCTGGGTCTCCTACCATAGCACCCCTTTTCATTCAGAATTGTGTGAGCTGACACAGTTTACCCTGTGCCTGAAAGTCAGCTTGAATTTGTCTGGAAGTTGATCTAGGTTCTTTAACTACCATTCAAACAATCCTTCATTGCAATCTTTGATCAATTTTTCTCTTCCACGTCCCGGGAGATTAGCTACAGTTCCATGGGCTGTAAACTTCTGAACAATGTTGCGCACAGTGGACACAGGAACATTAAGATCTCTGGGGATGGACTTGTAACCTTGAAATTGTCCATGTTTTTCCACAATTTTTGTTCTCAATTTCTCAGACAATTCATTACTGCTCTTTCTCTTCTCCATGATCTATGTGGCACACAGAGACACACAACAGAAAGGTTGAGTCAAATTTTCACCTTTTTAACTGGTTGCAAGTGTGATTTTTATATTGCCAGAACCTGTTAATTGATACAGGTGAGTTTAATTACAAATTATTATTATTATACAGGATTTATATAGCACCAACAGTTTGCTCTGCTCTTTACAATATAAAAGGAGACAATACAGCAATGATGCAGTTCAATAGAAGAGGGTTAGGAGCAAAGGATAGAAGAAGAGGGTGACCGTAGTATTTGTGAGGGGACAGCATCCAGGGGGCAGGTAGTGAGACCCCTTTAGCACCTGATGGATAAATGCATGCACTAGCTGTATGGATTTGAGCACAGTGATCTCTTGTTTGTTATGTTGTTGGGTCGGTGGCCGGACCTGAGCCTTGTGGCTCTCCCCATTGTGTCTTTTCCCCTGTGCTGGCATTGTGTCCACAGTGGCACTTGCGTAGGCAGGGCGGAGTAGGACTGGCCATAGAGGGATTACTTTGACGCAGTTGGCCAGCTTAAGTATGTATTGCAATATGTGTGAACCAAATATCCCTATTTATTGCATAGTTTGCTTGAAAGGGTATATACCAGTGTGCAGAGGGTCCTTCAGAATTTCCAGGTAGTGAGATGGGCTTCTGAGAAAACTTAGTGACCTCTTCGGTAGTAGCAAGGTCAAAAGAGGAAAGTGTTGAGGGAGGTTTAGTATAAGGTATGCTAAGTGGGATGGATGTTTGTGCAGTGGCGATGCCCCTACAAATTCCATCAATCTTGTTTTTTAAATGATTGGCAATCTTGTAAGCAGTGAGTGAGTTGCTTGGTGGAGGAGGAGAAAGTAAAGAGTTAAGAAGAGACGACAAGGACTGGATGACAAGGTATTAATAAGAGTGACAAAGTAGGCTTGTTTGGCAGCATGGAGGGAGGAATTGTATGTTAAGAAAACAGATTTATATAGGGTGAATGCTTGTTGAGATTTGGTTTTACGCCACAATCGCTCCAGTACACGACAATGTCTCTTAAGATTTCTGGTGTCATCAGTCTGCCACGGATGTAATGGTCAGGGCCTGATGCTTCGTGTTGTTAGAGGAGCAAGTGAGTCTAATGTGGATGAAAGTGAACTGTTATAGATAGAAGTGGCCAGATCAGTGCAGGACAGGGGAGAGAGTCTGTCATAGAGGTGGTCAGCTGCAGAGTAGAAAAGAGAAGGGTTTAAGTTGTGAAGGTTTCTGCGGGTAATTGTTTGATGCTTGGAGGGATAGGTGTTTGAAGATGAGGACACTGTGAAGGTGATTAAGATTGTGATCAGAGAGAGGAAAGGGGGTGTTTGTGAGGTTGTAGGGAGTGCAAAGATGGGAGAAAACAAGGTCTAATGTATTCCCATCAGAGTGAGTGGAGGACTGTATCCATTGTGCTAATGCAAAAGATGAGGTTAGGTTGAAGAGTTGGGATGTAGCCGGGTTGTTCACATTAATGGGGATGTTAAAGTCTCCAAGAATGATAGTGGGTAGTTCAGAAGAGAGAAAGCAT